ACAGTGATTGGTAGTGTTTTCCTTTTTTGGGAAGAATAAATTCGAAAGAATAGCAAAATGGAGAATAACAAATGAGCACAAATAGTGGTAAAGTAAGACGAGGAAAGAAAATAGTTTTGATATTAATAAATATTTTGCATATTTTTTTCAAAAAAAAAAAAAAAAAAAAAAAAATAGTGATATTCTCACAATTATAAGATTTTACTCGTATTGTGAGGACAATATGAAAAAATAAAGTATAAATGAAATTAAATAAAAATATCCATATTCTAACAATAACATTATCGCACTTTTAAATTTCGCGCCGATCCTTACGAAATGTTTTTAATGTTCAGAATGAAGTTGTAAAATTGCAACTATAGTTTTAATTGATGATTCGGATAAAATTTTTGTCCTAATTCCTTATATACAGTTTTCTGTCCGAGCACCATGGAATTTTACACGGAAAACGATTACCAATTACCATTTTACAGCATAGACGTTTTCTCCAAGAAGACAGGGTCTGGAGAAGTTGCCGGCATATGAAAGAAGATCTTGTCCACTTTATTCACAGGGTTCTATGTTACAATGAATAGAGATTTAGATTCACTGAAAATTGAGGCTTATTGGTGGTTTTGTATACAATAGTCCGACTATACTGAGTTTGTCTTCAAATCCTAAATATTTCTGTAAGAAAAATAAATAAAACAAATTTTCTGTTGCTTTTTTGCGCATTTACCAATTGCCAGAACTTTTGTTTATTGTATTTTTTCTTGGTATTTTTTGTATTACATGAAATATTTTCATATATATTAATAGTTGTTTTTATATTTTTTTATAATAATGTTTAATGATACTATGATTTTCTTGTGTTTTTTTTAATACAAACATTCCCTACCTAGATTGCCTTCAATTACCATTTAATAAATGTATAGTTATTTATTTATTTTATTTTTAGTAGTCGTTTTGTTTTATTTTATTTTGTGTCCACAAATTTCTGATTATGTTAATATTTGAATTTTATTTATATTTTTTTCTTAAACATTCTCTCATTGTATAATTATTGCAATTATTTTTTATTGTTACTTTTAAATAGGAGTTCCTTTTTTTATTCATTTTTATTATTACATCAAAAAACATTTATACAACATTCACACATCGATTTACATACATATTTTTGTAGTTAGTTATTATTTTTAAGTTTTATTTATTTAGTTATTATTATTTAATTATTGTTAAAGCTTTTCAAGGACAAATTTTAGTGTTTGTATTTGTATTGTGTGTAGTCAATAAGTAGTCATAATTATTATTATTCAGTTAAGGGGAAACTCTGTTCTGTTTTCTCTGTGAAATTTTCATTTATTAAGTTGAAATGGAACTATGGTTATTTTTTACTAAAAATTGAAAATAAATTATATCTTTAAATATTTAACAAAATGTACAATATATTTTAGCTATCTAGAGAGTAAATATGTAGTTGCAGAAAATAAACGATAACAAGTTGAAAACTTTTTGTGTGATCTGGAGATGTCAAAACAATAAACAAAATCAATTTTTGTTCTCAATAAATATAGCTGCATCATAGTCAAATATTTTTACTTTATTTTTTGGTATGTATAACAATAATAATTAATAGTAGTTAATAACAAATGTTCAGTTTAATTATGTATATTCCACTGTATAAGCTTGTTTTGTTCATAGATTTAAAGCATTTCATGTTAGATATGAATATTTTGGTTTGTTTTTCGATTTCGATGGGGGAGAAAATGTTTTGACTCGATTGTATGGAAGTAAAACTTTATCTTTTGACGAAGGACCAGTTGAAAATTGTGGATAGTAGAAATTCTATGCGTTTTCTAGAGACAGTAGATTTCTGATATATCTTCTGAAGAATGAAGACACTTTTCTTGAATGGAAAACCTTACATAAATTGATTGACACTCTGTATGTACTCTGGAAACAGAAGACTTTTTTTAATATCTGTAGATTTCCAATTATAGACGTAAAGCATTCTGTCTGGTTCTATTATAATTGAAGATATTCTATAGGATTTCTTTGGACTGAGGGCCTTCTTTGTGGTATGAAATGGACAGATCACCTTGTTTATTACCCAAATAAGAACGATTTTTGGTAGTTAATATTATTAACTATAAGTATCATCTTCAATCTGTAGATTTTCTTTGGACATAATACATACAGTTCTCTTATAATTAGAGATATTATATACGATTTCTTTAGACTGACGACCTTCCTTCTTATAACCCATGGACCGATAACATTCTCTAGTTCTTAAATATAAAAGATTTTCGATAGTTAATATAAGTATTGGAGGTCTTCTATTGATAATTTATATACTGAAAATAGGTGGATTGTCCTTTATAACAGAAACCCTAGTTCCGAAAACCGAAAGTTTTCTATAGATGGAATTCCTTATATAGGTCCTCTACCAAGTGATGGTCTTACATATAATAGACAATGAATAATTATATCTACTGTGGCATAACTATTCATTGCCTATTATATAAGCACAAGAACTTGTTGAAGTCTACTACATACTAAAAATCTTCTACAGGTCTTCCCAAGACGGTCTGTAGATTTTTTTGTAATTTGAAAATCTTCTACGTTTTTCAACATACTGTCTGTATATCTTTTGCAAGTCTTCTATATACACAGAAAGAAGTTCTTAAATATGTATGTTCTTAAACTGGGGACGTTCCAGACGTCGTTCGGAACTAAAGACCTTTAACCGACACATTTAACCCTTAAATGTAACAAAGTAGGTCTATATTGGTGTACTAAAAAGTAAGAAGGTTGGTAAGTTCTACCGTACAAACCTTTTTTAAACCTCCACCATCATTACATAGAATCGGTGAATTCCATTATCAATACCAGACAAAGGTCTATTTTGAACATTGTCGATCTCTATCGTAATTCCAATAGATAGACGGCATAGACTTTTACTCTAAACAAAAATATATATGTTTTGTGGGATCTAGGGTTCCGATAGTTCATTATTTAGGGGTTGATTCATTGTTGGATGAAAAGGTTAAAAGCGAAAACTATGATAATCAGAAATAGGAACGAGATCAGATAAAGGAACTAGATACACTAAAGAAACCAAAGAGCTGCGACTAGTTCCGATCGTTCCTTTTTGGGAATAGTTCCAATAAAATAATTCGTTTTGAAATTGTGGAAATTTGAAGACTATCTGATCGCCAACCGGGCTGTCATAATATAGTAATGGAGTTATTTTCCCTGGATTGAGATGTTTTACCTCTTTAAAAATATATTTAATATTCATAAAAGTTTCTCTACAGTGGTCGGAATAGGGTCAGAATTTAAGACAACTTCAGAAAGACAGATATTGAAAATCAATCCTTAAGTAGTGTCTCGTAAGGTATACCTATTTGATGGAAGAGAAATCGGACAGTGATTGGAATTTCGTTAGAATTTAAGACTACCTCAGTTTTGAATGATAGATATTTAAATATCAATCTCCTAGCAGTGTTCCTAGTAATGTATTCTTATTTGCAGAGAATATAAACATTGACATTTTTAGCATCTCGGGAATAGTTTGTCATGCATAAATAACCGGGTTAGTACGTATCTAGGGATACGTAGTCGAGAACAAAAGTCAACTTTTAGACATTTCGATTTTTGCCCCAGACCAAAAAGTCGATTTGTAGAGTTTTCGATCGAAAATCGATTTTGAAAAGTCGAATTTGCGATTTTTTCAAAGATTAAAAGTGGACTTTGACTTTTAGTCTTTTCAATACAAAAAGTCGATTAATCGATTAGTTAAAAGTCGATTTACTTATCTCTAGAATAGTCCGCTGAAGGATATATGTGTGCTCTCCACCGTAGTTACTATCCTACCGAATGATGTAATAATTCCCTTAGGAAAATAGTGAACGACTGATGTTCACTTGGCTTTAAGGTAATTCATGAATGTACGCTGGTCAAGCTCAACCAAGGGTTTATTTATTTAGAAATGGGGCCAGTATTTAAGCGACCTTAGTTTTCGAGAACGAATATTGCAGCAGTTACTCTAGTAAAGGAATCAATGCTTTTTGATGAAAGAAAAGTCGGATTTGTCTTAGTTTGCAATAAGAATACATCGTGGGTCATTTGGTATCCCCTTCCAGCAAATGGATTATGCTTGAGTTATAACTGGTTCCAGTTCTGCAGACAGTTTGAATACCAATATTGACAGATTAAATTTCAGCTAGACTGACATGCTCATAACATCTGAATTAGTAGAGAAGCCATAGTAAATTTTATAATTCTCACAAAAAATGCGCGAAATGGTCTCATAGTTGAAATTGGAGAACAAGATGGAATTCTAATTGAATTAGTACTGTGGATACCAGTTTGAGTTGTATGGTATAGAGAGCTGGACAAAGTGCTAGCTGTAGAAATGAAAGAAAACCTAGTAGATTAATTAGCTTGCATTCTAGTGCTAGCACTAGTGGAGGATATGATAAGAAGCCCAACATCTAGCATTGGTACCGGTATTGGTACCAATGATATTGGTATTAGAATAACTAGACGATAGTAGAAATACTCCTGGATTTAGAACTAGTGAGGAAACTAGTCTTAGTACAAACGAAAGGCTAGACTGAACACTAGCGGAAACCAGAAGGCCGTGATCTCAATCATCTGAAATTTCGTGAACTACAAATGTATTTTTAAATTTACAAATTAAATTTTACAAATTACAATCGTTTCGAAATTAAATCTGCAAAAGGCGTATATCTGAAATTTCAAGAAATACTTCAATATACTTTCTCTTCGTATGTACCTTCTCAAAATTTGGATGTCATCTGGACAATCGATTAAACCCCCATTTCCTCCCCCTATGAATACCCTTATTATCATTTGAACTTTAGTTAGTTGTGTTTAGTTTTAAGTACTTTTTAACGTTTTGAATAGATTTTTGTTCTTGTTGTTGTTGTATAGGTTTCTTGAGTTTGAATATTTACTTTTGTTCTTGTTGTTTTTCTATTTATTTACTACTACATCTATAGCCAAGGTAGACACATGGAACGGCAAGCTTCCCGAGAATGAGGTTCATCACCAGAACGACCACCGCCTCCACCACCACCAGAAGCAGAATTACTGCCAGCTGCATGGCTCGCATCCTTGTGGCTCAAATCCTTGCCACCATCTTTCCCGCTATCTTTCCAACTGTCCTTCCCGCCACCTATACCGACAATTTTGAAAAATGAACTCCTTCGTCAGTGTTTGCGGTGACCTTGGGGCGATGTGGAGCTGCTACCGCCACCACTGCCACCACCATTTGAACCGGGCGAGGTGGATAGTGAGGAACCCAAACTTACACTGCCATATGAAGGACGTTTTTGTAGATTGTTGTAGGGGGAGGGTATTGAGGAGGGTGAGGGAGTGGTACTGGTTGTTGAGGGCGCAGCAGAGGTATTGGCTGCCGATGAGGCGGTGCCTGCTGTCATGCAAGTGGTGAACAAAGCGGCAGTGTTAATAATCGTTGGATTTGGTGTGGCCATGGATGAGGCGCGTTGCATGGTGGTGTGACGTTTGGGTATGACAAATGCCGGTGGTGGTTGGGGTGTATATTGGGGTGGTGTAGAGTTGGTGGAAATTTGTCGTACAAAGGGGCGAACACCGCCACCTCCTGACATTTGGTTTGTGGGCATGGTGGAATGTTGTACTGAACCACTGCGAGCTATGGCACCTGTCCGGGGTGGAATGGCAGGTGGGGGGCCTGGTGGTGGACCACGTGAAGTCCGTCCCGTAGAACCGGTGGAGGGTGTGGGCGATGTTGCCACCAAACTTTCTGTAGAATGTTGTGATGGTATGCGAGGTGGTAGTTGTGGCAGAGGGCCAGTTTGTGAAACACTGCTGCTTTTGCGGGCCCCCAGTGGTGGGTGGGCCTTGGGCTGCGAGGAGATTTTCTCCGATGTAGATTTTTGTAATTGTTTGTGGGAAGTTGTTGTGGTGGTTTGGTGTTGGGGTTGTTGATGGTGGTGGTGTTGTTGTTGTGGTTGATATTGGTGTGATGATGGAGGAGGGTGTTGTTGCTGCTGCTGTTGTTGTATGGCACCCCTGGCATTTGTTGATGAAATTGTTGTGGTAGCCGTGGTATGAGTCCTAGCATTGGTATGAACCAAACGTGACTGAGGCTGCACCGTGGATGTTGTAATGCTTGGCTTTTGCATTGGCTGGGTGTGACGTATGGTTATGGTCTGCTGGCGATTGCTATTCTGTTGCTGCGAAGGCAAATGTGTTGTTGTCCTGGAGCAAGATAAGGTGGTGGTTGTGGAGCCACCTGCAGTCGTAGATGTGGCTGTATGATGCTGTTGTTGTTGCTGCTGCTGTTGATGTTGTTGCTTCTGCTGGGCATGTATATCCTGTATTTGTGGTGTAATAACAACAGGATTTTTCTTTTGATTTTGATCTTGTCCCGCAGCCACATAGGAGAAGACACATAGAACCGAATAACATATTTGATCGGCCTGTTCGCATTGGATTCAATTCCAAGGTGAGGGAAGAAATTTGTGTTAATACATTTCTTATTCTTAATTATAAAACGAATCTAACATTTAGCTAGGAGATGAAGATGAGTTCAAGAAAATAATATCAGAGAGAAAGAAAAAATAAATTTGAATTTTCTGCCAAATGAAACGCATGCAGTGTTTTTTGGGTTTTAGTAAAATTTTTTAATCTTGTGTCTAGATTATAGGTTTTATTTTTATAAAAAGCAAAGTTATATATTTTTTAGCAAATTTACTACTTTGTTAATTTTTATTGGAAAGTGTTAGCAATTTTTTGGAAGAAAAAAGTGTTTTCTAGTGTTAGAAAAATTAAACAATTTTATATAAACCCCCCTTCCTTCTGGTTGGGGATTTTTCATTCTTTGCAAGGGCTTCTATATATCCTGGTTATCATCACAGTTGTCTTTGTTGGCATCCTCTTCTTCTTCATCGCTTTCATCACTCGATGAGACGGTGTATGAACTTCCTGCTCTTTGTTTCAAATATTTTTTACCGGTCAAATTATCATTCGAATCCTTGTAACGACGATGTTCGACAATATCCGGGTGTTGCATCAAACGCTTGGCAAATTTTATACTAAACATGCGATGTAGGCAAAATGCAGCCTCCGCTGCCTGTCAGGCCCAAGTTTTTGGATATATGTTGCAATTTTGTTGGTTAGTTTTGAGGTAGTGTTTGTTGTTGTGATTAGAGAGTTAGTAATGTTGTTTTTGAGTGGTGTTGTTGTGTTAATTTTTTTGTTAGATTGGTGTGTGTGGAGGTTCACATGAATTTTTGTTTGTTTGTTTTTTTGGACAAATACATAAATGTATGTATTTTACATATATATGCATATGTTTGGTTATATACATACACACACACAAATTGACATATACATAAAAAGAAACAAAAATTATATTAAATAATTTAAAGAACGAAAACAAATTGAGAGGATTATTTTTTATTGGTATATATATACAGACATAACAGAAGTCGGTTGCAGACATGATTTTTAATAATCAATAAAATATTAATTTATATACTTAAGTACTACAGAATATGTAGTTAAAAATTGAGATTATTGATAGACTATTGATCACAATTCACGATTTTAGTAGAGAAAGAGAGTACCAAATATCGTAACATTTTTTTTCAAAATTGTTTAAAAAAATATCCACGCACAGATAGTCCTTCAAAAAAAAAAGTTTTATATAAAAAAAAAATAAATAATCGACCGTTACGGAACTGTTACTTTCTGCGGATGTTTATTCTGAGCCTAATATTTCGTGATATTTGCACCTTCTTGCTCGATTAGGGGTCAACAGGCATATTTTACTAATATTACTAATAATCAGTACAGCTCTTCTAATTACTTGTCCAGATTCTCTTCACCGTGGGTTGTGTTGTGATGTTCGGCTTATAATTGTGGCCTATAGATCAAACCTAAAAAACAAACAAAATTAAGTTTTCGATCCACTTCATCCCAAAATTTTAATGTGAACAAAAATTATAAGCGTTGTCCTTGACCTTAACTGGATCCTAATGGAAAATTTCAAAGCGATCAGCGCTATATTTTCACCCTAAAAAACAAACAAAATAAAGGTTTCGATCCACTTCATCCCAAAATGTTAATGTGATCAAAAATTATAAGCGTTGTCCTTGACCTTAACTGGATCCTCATGGAAAATGTCTAAGCGATCAGCGCTATGGGTTACTAAATAATATCTGAATACGTAAGGACCTGTAAATATGTAAGTGTAACTCCCACATCCGAATACATACGACAATATAATTTGTATCAATTTAAAGGTCAACCACTCCTCTTCGATATACTATCAACTTCTTGGGTCTATACCCTTCAGCGCTAGTTATATACGCCATAGAATACAAATTTTGTAATATTTCACAAAAGTCAGGGTCCATTTGACCCACTTATTGTTGACCAATCTTTATTAAGACATGCCCATTCTTTCGCTTGTTCTCCGTGTAGAATTTCGCGATGTTCGGGCCATACTTGCGGCCACTGGAGCGACCAGAAAAATAGACAAAAATTAAGTATTTGGTCTATTTCACCCCTAAATATTAACCGATTTTTACCATATCGGGTATTTACAAATAGGGTACTTCATTGGTCAGAACCCATCCTAAATGCACAATTTCGTGAAGATTGGTCCATAACTGTGGCCTGTATCGTGTTTACAAATTATAATGGACAGACGGACGGACCGACACACATGTCCAGATCGACTCAGCTAGCCGAGATATGACGATCGGTATACTTAAAGGTGGGTCTAGGACCAATATTTCGCGGCGTTACAAACTCTTGAGGCTGCACAAAGCTATAATACCCTGACAACATGGTTGAGTAGGGTATAAATACGCACAGATAGTCTTTAAAACCCCAGCAAGGAAAGTAGTAAAGTCGGACTGGACAGGCTACATGATACCCTTCACCATTTTGGCTATATTCTACATATATATCCTAACAATTCCATGTCATTGTTCCCTCGAAGGTACATTGTACAAAATTGTGTGGGAATCGGACAAACTTTAGATTTTTAGTGCACAATTTACATTAAATCGGAAAATATGTATTAGAGCTTCTAACTTTGAACCTATTTTTACGAAACTTAACACACATCATTCTACCCTGTACGCTGTGATCAATTTCGTGTCAATCGAAAGATATATAGGACTTTGGTACACCATTTACATTAAATCGGACGAATATATGGGAGCTATATCTAAATCAGAACCGACTTTTTCCTAATTGTAATAGGGTCAAATAAATTTGCCAAATTTCACTTATGGCTGCGATAGTTTCTAAATAAAATTTTATAAAAAAATCTGTGCTTAAGGCACTGACCGTTGATGCCATGGATTTTGACACTGATATGGCCTCATGATTCTGATTTTTTTTAATTCTAGGTGCTTATTGGACTGTGAATGCTCTTAACACGCTTATGGTTGCATTATTCCATCCATGGCTATGGAAGTCTTCAAAATTATATGTTATTGGCAAAATACAAAAAATGTCTAATCGTAAAGTTTTTAAAATTACCACTTAAAAATTTTAATTTTTCTACGATATTTATACCCTTCACCACACTGTGGTACAGGGTATTATGTCTTTGTGCATATGTTTGTAACAGGCAAAAGGAATCGAGATAGACCCATGGTTCCTTTTGAGAATATGCATAGAATCACTTTCTGAGTCGATTTATGCATGACCGTCCGTCCGTCAGTTGATGTTAAATTGTAAACAGAGTACAGGTCTCATTTATGATCCGATTTGGATAAAATTTGGCACAGCTCACTTATTTGGCCCAAGGGCGAACCCTATTGAAATTGGGAAAAATCGGTTCAGATTTAGATATAGCTCCCATATATATTTTCGTCCGATTTAAGGTAAATGATATACCAAGGTCCCTATATATCTTTCGATTTGCACGAAATTTGGTATAGCCTACCGAATTAGGTCTAGAATAATGTGTGCTAAGTTTCGTGAAAATCGGTTCTTATTTAGATATAGTTCCCATATATAGTTTCGCCCGATTTTATGTAAATGGTGCAATAAAGCCCCTGCAAACCTTTTGATTGACAAGAATTTCGGTATA